GCCCATGCAGCGAGCCCGTTTGCGGGATTCCATCCTTGGACCGAACTACCAGTGTTCAGCGACTTTACCGCTAGGCCGTTAGTAGGTACCTCCGTGGAGGACTTACTAAGGGAAAATGGCTCTATACACCTTGCAAAATTGTTTTTGTCATGTATAATGCTTCCATGCAGGTAACCCGTTCTCCGGGATTCGAATCCCTGGGGCCTAACTACTAGTGTTCAGCGAAACTACCGCTCAGCCGCTGGTGGGTCGCTATAGTCAAATAAATTAAACTCATCTTCTGCATTTAAAGAAAAAAAATTGCTTCTACTGTGGCTTAATTTTACTTGGAATTATTTTGTTTTCAACAGAATTTTTCAGTTTTAGTTAGCTGATAATTATTATTATCAGGTTGTTAAATTATTTATTTGAAATATGAGTTATTTCTCTTTCCTGTTATTGTGAAAGGTTAGATTATTTGAATTGTGCAAAGCACATGAGGGTTGTCTGCCTAAGAAGAGTGCCATGGAGAACTTTCGACTCATATTCACATTATACATAAGAAAATCCCTTAAAACTAACCCTGCAGCCAGCTCGTTCGCCTGGAATAGACCACTAGGTCGAACTACCAGCACTCAGTGGTTTAAACCGCTCAGACATTGGTACAGCCTATACTGCGAAAAGAGGTGGATTTCTAATTACTAATGGAAAGCCATGAACTGTAAAGAGGACGTTTTTAAGTATTTAAATTAAGATCAAAACTTTTTTTTTTTGAAAATTTCAGTTAGCTTTTATTATAGTTAAAACAGCGTGGCTTTTTGAAGTAGATTATTTCAGAATTCTATAATCTAAAACTAGGAATTAGCAAAATGTTTCTTTGACTTCCTCGTCTTCCCGTATATGTTTTGGGTCTTGAAAGAAGACTCGACTTTTACACCGATAACGATGCAGCCATATGCTGGTTTGTATTAGCATATCGGGTATAGTCTTCAGCGTCAATACAAACCCTGTAAAAAAAGGGGGGAATAGTTTTGTATCCCCCGTTCTACTGGGAAGATTGAGGAAATTTAATTTGTGTTTCCATGTCTCGAACGCGCAACTTGCGATACATATTAGATTTATAACCTGATTTTCCTTAGTCATTCAAATGAAACGGTAAAAGAAAATATACGACACAAAAACCCTTTAAAAAAAATGAGAGCTTAAAAGTCATCAAAAGGATTTTCCTAAACTACAATCCAAAATCTTAAATGCAGTAAAAAGAAAAACAATGTCCGAACATGACTAGAAATTTAAAAGTATCCCTTCATAATAATACCCATAGCCCCACGAAACGAGACATCTGCGGAGATAAAAATGAATAAAATAATAAAACTGAAATAAAGACTGTATATAGAAAAGGGATTGTGTGGAAGAAGGGGGTAGTTGCTTGGGAGAGAAAGGGAAATGCCAAAATCCACGAGTGGTTGAACGTTTCACGTGATTTAGAATAAAGCACTGAAGCGCAGGACCTTGAAGTTGCGAGATGAAACTGCTCTTTTTTGTCTCAGAATTTGATCAACAAGATTAAGACGACAGGAGAAAACTGTGGATTATGGAAAATCAGAGACCGCTGGTAAAATGGGCCTGTGAAGACAAATCCCTCTTTTAGATTCTTTTGTTGTCGACCATTTTTCTCAACTGTAGAATTTTGCAATTATAAATCTATTGATTCTGTTTTTGTTTCTTTATCTACTAGCAGAAAATACCATGTTAGTTTTTCAGAAATTTTAGTTGAAGAAAATTTATCGAATATTGCGATGTCCGACTTTGGCTTATTGCCGATATTTGCCCGTTTGGAAAGAAAAGTGATGAACTTGCGACATAATCCGTTATTTCATCATTTTCCGTCGATAATTTCTGCCGCAACAAGAAATTATAAAAAAACATACTTTCCTATGAGCGTGAGTTAAAACTATGGGATAGGTTCAAGTTTACCTGCTTGAGAAATTACACCTACAGGAGAAGATGCATTAACATTATGCAGTATAACATTGTAGATAAATGGCGGACTCAATGGGAAACTCTGCTAAAAACAATACGTTCATGAAGATTTTGGTTCCTAAGGAAAATATGAATATTTGACTTGAATCAGTTAATTACAGGACATGGGAGATTTGCCTTTTATCTGAAAAGATTCCATGTTCAAGATAACGATTTATGTAAAGTATGTACAAAAGTAGGAGACAATGTCCGCTTTATTACAGAATGTAAGTTAACCAGATGGAGCGAACATACATTTTATGAAAAATTGTTTACTTAAGGCAAGAGAAATAGAGCATAAAATCATGAAGATTATTAACAACAATAAAGAAGCCACTGGCATTGTGTGATTCTTGTGTTTGTATAGTTGTGTGGTGATTTTTGTACTGGCGTAGCCCGTACAGGGTCATAGGGCAAACTTTGTTTTGCAAGGTAGACCGGGCTGCGCCCTAACCAAAAAAAAAAAAAAAAAAAAAAAAACACCTACATGTATGTTTTTCTATTTGCCTTGCAGAGTGTCTTTCCCATGACGCCACAGTTATTTGGATGTTAGGACCTCACAGAGCAGAAGATGGAAGTGGAATGCAAATATTTAAGCGTGCTTTTTTTTTTTTTTTTTTTTTTTTTTTTTTTTTACAAAGATCCTTAATTCAATAAGTTTTCTTTAGTTCTTATAGTAATATATACTAAATAAACTTAAAATTTTAGAAACCAGCATTAAGTTTAATGATTAATTTAAGCTCCCTAACCTAGAGGTAATACTTGATACTTAGAGGTAATACTTTATAAAATAATTTTATTTTTGCATAAAACTGTACAATGCAATTATTATACTAGACTGTTTTGAAAGAAAAATGAAAATATCAAATCAGTAGTCCCCAGATAGTTGAATACCCACGTTGTCGTGAACATTGTGAGTTTAAGAGAAAATAATGAGCGGTTTGTTAAAATTTAGATCAGATGAAAGATCTTTTAATATATAGCATTTTAATACTATTTAGCACAGTGTAATAAGTTCATTTTACAGTACGCAACATCCTCAAAAATGATCGTTACAACGCAGTTCGATCATCCATCTTTTCTGAACAACAATCTCTCTCGTTGCCATTCCGTAACAGAGAAACTTACCTCTCATGGAGTTCGACAGTGGCGCGACATTCTCCCCACCTTGAGTTTGGGGATACAAACTCAAAACAGTAAAATAATGATAATACATACATACAATTTTGAGATAACAATAACGTGCATAATAATAATAGAAATATTTCAAAATAGTAGAATGCAAATTGAAATCAATATTTTAGAGTTCAAACACAGAAAGTTCAAAAGTTTGTTTAGAAGTTTATAAATCCAGTCTTTTAACTGGTTTTATTTTTCGTCCTGAGCGAGACACGCGAACAGTTTCATTAGAGTCAGTATTAAGCTCAGGATTTTCAGCTACCACTTCCGGAACCTTCTGAGGTTCCGATACGACTTGCTCGTAATTTGGGGTCAATTCCAAAGGATAACAGTCGTTGGATTGGTCTTAATATGTTTCCCTTTTCAGTTCGCAGTAACACAAGTCTGATGATTCCATCTTTTCCTGGAAAGAGTTCCAGTACTCTCCCTAGCAGCCAATGGAGCCTTTTTTTATCATCTGTACCAATTAACACTATGTCACCTACATTTATTTTATCTTCTCTTTTGTTAACTGAAGAACGAAGGAAACCCAGATACTCCCTTTTAAACCTTCGTTTTAGATTTTCACGAACCTTTTGAATATGTCTCCATCTCAAAACAATATTAGTCTTTTCAATTTGATCCAAATCAGGAACATCATTTAATGGAATGTCCTGAAGAAACATTGAGGGGGTCAAGGTCTTCAGATCTTGTTCCTCGGATCTGCTGTTCATGATCGATTCGCTTTCACAGACGAGAGTCTGCAATTCCTCGTAAGACAAACAGGAGCGTCCAAGATTTTTTCTCAAAAGATCTTTCAAAATCCCAATCAAGCGTTCCCAGAAGCCTCCCCACCATGGAGAGGAGGGTGGGTTAAACTTCCAACGAATTTCGTTGACTCTAAATTCACTTTCAATTGTAGTCCAATCTAATTGTTTCAGAGCATTATTTAGTCCTGTAAAATTAGTACCATTGTCTGAATACATCACAGAAATTCGTCCTCTTCTGGCTATAAACCTACGCATAGCTTGGATGAAGTCGTTGGTACTCAGTGAAGGTATTAGCTCAAGATGGACAGCTCTAAATACGGCGCAAGTAAAAAGTACTATCCACACCTTTTGTTTAGATTTAGTCAACAGAGGTCCAGCTATATCTACACCTGATACTTGAAAAACTGCTGCTACTTCTGTTCGGTCTTTTGGAAGAGGCGGAAAAGGTACCTCAAGATGTTTTACCTTTTGCCTTTTACATGTTAAGCATTCTTTGATAACACTCCGGACAGTTCTTTTCCCTTTCACTATCCAAAATCTTTCCCGTAAAATAGTCAGTAGAGTTAATGTCCCAGCATGCTTGTTAGCAATATGTTGTTGGGCTATAAATCTTCTCACTGCCAGGATGTTTCGATGGTAGAATTATTGGAAGAAATAAAATCTTTCGATTCTTCCTCATTTATCAATCTGGACTTCAATCGTAAAATTCCTTCTTCATCTTCAAATATTAGACCTTTCAAATTTTTTCGTGTTTCTTCATTGGAGTAACATTCCTTTTGTATTACACGGAAAATAGTCCTTTGTGCATTTAACAATTCTTCATTTTGAAGTTCCTTACATTTTCTTAAGTCCTTGGGCCTTTGGTTGAAAACGCAGTATCCAAGCCATAACCCTAATCATCTTTGAAAATCTAGAGAATCTTCTGGCTAACTGTAATGGAATTGACTCTAGCTCTGTGTTACTAGCAGAGATGACTGACTTTCGTTTCTCTATCTCTACTTCTTTTTCGTTAATATTTACAGCTGACTTTGGCCACTGCTCCTTCGGATTCTTCAACCAGGCTGGCCCTTGCTACCACTTGCGTTTCTGAAGTTGCCTAGGTCCACAACCTCTTGACAAAAAGTCTGCTGGATTCTGGTCAGTTGAAATATGGAACCAATCTTCCGAAATTGTCAATTTTCTAATTTCACTTATTCTGTTTGTAAGGAATACCGACCACTGTTCTCGACGAGTTATCCACACAAGAACTGTGGAAGAATCTGTCCAAAAGTAAGTCTTGATGTTGGGAAGTTTTAGAGCTTGCTTCACAGAACTAAACAGCCTAGCACCTATGGTAGCAGCCATTAGTTCAAGTCGTGGTATAGTAATAGTCTTCGTTGGAGTTATTCGTGATTTGGCTTGAAGTAATTGAACAGTCACTGAACCCATACTGGATTCACTTCTTAAGAAAATGCATGCCGCATAAGCTGTCTTGCTGGCATCGACAAAAGTATGGATACTTAAATTGGATTCCTTCATCACACCTAACCATCTTGGAATTTTTATATTTTTGAGGTATTTCAGTTTGTTTTCCCCATTTTAAAAAATTCTTCTTTATTTCATCATTCACTTCATCATCCCATGATTCTTTGCTCTTCCAAGCGACCTGCAGCAAAATCTTAGGCTGAATCATAACAGGTGCAAGGAAACCTATGGGATCAAATACTCGACTAACTAGTGAAAGCATTTTCCTTTTAGTTACTTTTTCTCTTTCATCAAATTAAAAAAATTCGGTGTCTATTTCCAAGGTATCTAAATCTTTGTCCCAAACCAGTCCTAATACCGGTGATGTTTTACTTTCTGAAAATGCAGGAATGCCAAAACTTTCCCATCCTCTGAGATCAAACATTCCTTCTTTCATTACATTAGTTGCAGATTCGATGAATATTTCTAGTTCGTCATTATTTTGTACACTAGTTACGCAATTATCGACATAAAAACTATCTTGTAATTTTTTAAGAACTTCTTCAGAATATTTTTCTTTCCACGTTTCTTTGGATAAATGATAGTCAATAACCGCCATCAGCAAAAATGGACTACAAGTAATGCCAAATACCACACGGGTGTGACGAAATGTCTTCACTCTACCATCATCACCATACCAAAGAAATCGTAAAAAATCTCGATCTCTTTCATTTAGAGATATCTATAAAAAAGCTCTTCTGATGTCTGAAATCACACCAATTTCATGTAAGCGAAATCTTGCTAGAATAGACGGAATAGTTTCAATCAAATTAATTCCAGTCTCTAAGCAATCATTTAGAGATGGCTGATTAGAAAGCTTTGCCGAAGAATCAAAAACGGGTCTAATTTTCATGGAAGATAGTGAGGACGTTTCCTTAATGACTGGATGATGTGGGAGGTAATGAACAACGGGTAAAGACAACTCCTTTTGGGGAACTTCTTCAATCACTCCTTCCTGCAGCCATTCATTAAAGACTTCATGATACCTTTCACGATATCCGATTTTTTCCAACTTCTTCGTAGTAGATTCGAGTCTTTTCAAAGATAGGTCATAATTGTCAGGTAAGACTGCATGCTCAGTTTTCCAAGGCATATCAACCTCGTATCTACCATTTTCTAATTGACGAACTGTTTCTTGGAAATGAACCATAATAGCTCTTCTTGACTCTTCTTTAGTTTTTTGTTCAACAGGATCTCAGATACCCAATTATTCTAAGTCCCACAACGATGAAATAGGCAGGTCTTCTTGAGATAACATAGAAACTATAGTCATATTTACATTGTGCTGATGTTCGGATTGAGGTACTTTACCCATCAAAGTCCAACCCAATTTTGTTTCTATAGCCACTAAACCTGTTCTTAGTTCTTCTCGTTTGCCAGTAAATAACTTCCCTGCAACGTCTGCCCCTAACAGTACTTCAATAGGGCCTGGATTCCCTTGGGTATCAGTTAAGCGTATTCCCTTATTTCCTAATTCGCGAATCCAAGAACCATATCTTATGCTTGAAATATCATTACAAATAACATCATGGTCTACAGCATCTAATTTACACGAATATTTACCATCAAGGCTACTCAAATAAATCTTGTAACATTGATGTTTATAAATTTCAGTTTTCTTTCCACCAAATAAAGAGTGACTAAATTCTTCCTCCCATTGCAAGTCAAAACCCATTTCTTCTGCAGTAGACTTTAAAACATAAGTTTTTGAGCTACCCGTATCAATCATTAATCTAACTTTACGCCGTTTATTCTTACCCTCTATGTTCACAACTAGGGTCTGAAGGGAAAACTTCATTCGTAGCACGCGAATGCAAAGAATCGATTGTTTTCTCTTTTTTCTCATCATTTTCCTGGTTATGCATTTCACTAGACTTATTACATTCAAGACTAGGACAAAAAAATTTCAAATGCCTTTTTGAACAAATCTGACACTTAACACTTAATCGACACTGGTTACTGAGGTGACCTTTAACCAAGCATATTCTGCATAAACCTTTCTTTTTTACCGCAGACATTTTTTCATCTAACGGAATATAAAACGCCTTTTTACAATTACGCGTTTCATGATCTTTTAAACAAAACGAACAAGAAGGTATTGCTTCATGATTCATCAAATCCGACGCGGAAGGAATATTTTGGCTAGTTGCCAAGTGCTTACGATCAGACTTAGAAAAAATATCCGCTCTGCTTAATTTTATTTTTTCTTTTGACTGAGCTTCGCTTTTCAGAAATTCAATTATTGCATCAAGACTCGAAATGTTTCGTTCAGATTCAGTAATTTTTCGTTGTCTTTCAAACGATCGCAATACGTGAATAGGAATAGCACTTTCCACAAGAGGATATAAAATTGTTCCACACTGATCAGTCGTTACACCAAGACTGCTCAGGGCTCTAAGTTGTGTTGAAAGTTTGTTATACAAACTACTCAAAGAATCCTGCTTCCTTTTCGCTGCGTTATCCAAAACAAGTTTTATTAAATCTCGAACATAAAAATCAATTAAAAGTTCTTTACGCCCATATCTCTCAGTAAGGCTTTCTATAGCCAAAGGATAATTTTCGTTCGTCACCGGAAAAGATTCTACAATATCTCTAGCTTCTGATTTAATTTTTGTTGACTGTATCAAATAATGGAATTTGTCTGCATTCGTTAAGTTATTATTTTCATGTATGTTTTTAAACTGATTCCAAAACGTAAGCCAATTTTTTTAAATCACCTGCGAACTTATAAAGTTCTACTTTCGGTAGGCGTTGGCACAAAGTTTTACATGTATTTTCATCAGTAACTAATTTCTGACTACTCTCTGACGATGTATTTTGGATTTCGTTCAATTTACTCTTAATATTATCGAGAAATCGTTCCGATTTTAACTGTATCCTAACAGCCTTCTCTCGATAGTCCTCTGTTATTTCAAATTCTGTTTCGAATTCTTTATCATCAGTTATAGTATCTAAATAAGCACCGTGCGTCAATTCTAATGTTTCTGCCTTTTTCTTGAACAAATAAAAACACATTTCTGCTTCTTCATCGTCAACATTATCATCATTTAAAAGTTCATATAGTCTTTTATATGCTTTAGTAAAAGCTGAACGTTGCGCAGTTTTATTTCTTTTCATCACTTCCATTTTGTCATAAAAGTTTAAAATATTCAGATAAAAATTAGGCAAGAAAAGTATTTTAAACTTCAGTAAAACAATAATGAATAACTTCAAAACGGAAGTAAAAGGTAATCAACTTACCCTATCTATTCTTTCATCCGACATGTTTCCAACAAACACGCCCACCCGGGGGCGCCAGAAATGTCGTGAACATTGTGAGTTTAAGAGAAAATAATGAGCGGTTTGTTAAAATTTAGATCAGATGAAAGATCTTTTAATACATAGCATTTTAATACTATTTAGCACAGCGTAATAAGTTCATTTTACAGTACGCAACATCCTCAAAAATGATCGTTACAACGCAGTTCGATCATCCATCTTTTGAACAACAATCTCTCTCGTTGCCATTCCGTAACAGAGAAACTTACCTCTCATGGAGTTCGATAGTGGCGCGACACACGTATTCCTTCCTAATCGCTCATTCATTTGTGATTGTATTATATCATTTCGAAACTCTAAATATCACCTAATACAGACCATTTCTTGGACTTTAATAACTTTTTCCAGTAACGGCTACCATCCGTTTCATCTCGACCACCTAAAATTAAATTTCTAAGCCTAAAAACGTGTATGTGCGAGATTAACGTAAGCGTAAAGTGTGTGTAAACGCAACGTATTAACTTTATTTAAAATGTATTTTCACGATTGGCAACAACAGTTTTTTTCAGAACGATAATAATTTGAACTGTAATGTTTTTGAGCAGTAATGTTGACGGTAATGTTTCTGAATAAAGCAAGTAACTAACAATTAATGTTTGACGGAATGTGTTTTTAATAAAGGAACTAATCAATTGCTAACATTTGCGAGATATTTTCATAAAACTAGCAGCTGAGTTGACATGTGAAATAAAAATTTGTTTAATATTCATTTAAATTCTCAGATCATCTTAAAGAGTTTATGCATTGAGAGGGGAAAAAATTCTACTTTGTAAGTCTTCTGCCAAAAACAAATTATCAGAGATACTAGTATATTACCAAATAGTGTTTACCAAAAAGTCATTCGATACACAAACTAATACATAAATTTTCGTAACTATTTATGCTCACTTGCGCAAGTTTAAATGGCTCTGAAAAAGAGGCAGAATATAAAGTTTTTAGAAACCCGTCTACACACAAATATACTTCATCTTCCCTTAAATCTAATGATATATATACAAGGAGTTTCTTCTCTGTCTTATGCACTGGGGGGTTAGACATATCACATATAGTATACTAAGAGTTTCTTCTGTGTCTTAGGGGCTGGGATTAGGGATATTATACTCATGTATACTTATCTGCTTTCAGGAGGGTTGCCTTTGTAAGAGCTTTCAGAAGCAAACAGGTCAACATCTTTATGATCCCCATAAGGTTAACAAAACCATGTTAACTATATGGTGATCATGGTAGATAATCTTCACTAAACAATGATCATGGTGGAACAACAATGATCATGGTGCATATTAAATTAGCTTAAGCTTGCTGATTATTTAGCTTGATAGAAAATCTGGGGGACGAACTATTAATATTTTGAAGTTTTAGGCATTCGGTTACTTCTCAAGGACAAACTAGAGATTACGATGATGAATATTGTTAATTCAGGTGCTTTAAATTACTGATATCTCTTAATAATGAGTTAGTCTGAGGTTGAGAAAGTCGACAATTTCATTTTTTCTTACCGTTATAAATGACAAAGCAAGCAAAACTTATCTATCTGTAGCTTAGTTTATCAGAATATGGCAAAGCACATAAGGGCTATCTGCCTAACCAATTATTCTGATTTTGGAATAGTTTATAATAATAAGAAAGAAAAACATGCTTTTAAAACTTACAAATGCATTGCATTCGAACGTTGCTATTGTTAGTCGATTATGGTAAAG